GGAGAATTCAGGAACGAGTAGGGGATGCTGGAGAGAGGTATCTTGAAATGACTGAACCTGCCTGCTGTGGCATCAAAGAGCAGAGTAGGGCACTTGAGACCAGCGCCTCCATGTACAAGTCCCTGCTGATCCCCTGGGGCTTGAGTGCCCGCTTGCCTTCCAGCCCAGCTTGTGGTGAGGATCAAGGGTGGACATGCCTTGTGGGTTATAAAGTGGCAGACATGTACATGATGTCGTTGTAGGCCCTGGTTGGGGTGTGTGCTGACTGAGGGGTTGGGGGACTGGATGTGGTGATGAAAGTGAAGAGCAGCAAGAAGGAGGGAGGGAGCGAGAGGTGGATGCTGGAGCCATCAGGATCCCAGAGGAGCTGAAAATATGGCCTCCAAGACTCAGAACGCTTGTCAAGGGAGCAGACATCAAAGGGTTACCCTGCAACTGCTCAGCCTTCAGGCAGACACTGGGAGGGCTTTTCTTTTTTCCTGTAATGAGGGCAGGCAGCACTTTCACTGGCACCACCACCAAGGGCTCAGGGACCAGAAACTTTATGTCGTTTCCCCTGGATATTCAGCCTGAAACCCAGTATGTCTGGAAAGAATTTGGGAAGTCAGCCCCTTCTGTGTCAGGGAAAATCAAAGCTGTTAGGCAGAATTCTGCTCTCCCCTCTGCAGACCCACCCGCAGCCCTCCCCCAGCCTTTCCTTGTCTCCTGCAAGTGCAACAGAGGAGCTGACCTTCCTGTCCAAGGCTAATCCCTCCACAGGCGCCTGACCAGCCTTCTTCTGCAAGGCCCTTATTTTCTCATACTCTTATCTTCTCCCTTTTGTGTTATGCATAAACAATTATATTGAATAAATAATATTAAGATAACTGGTTGGCAGTGTTGGGAAAAATACATTTAGACCTGCAACTATGACCACACAAAAAAAATTCCAGATTGGTTAAAGATTTAAATTTATTTTTAAGAAATAAGCCATAGATTACTCCACACATAGGAAAACTTGAAAAAAATAAACGTACTATGGCATATCTGGAAGGAAGATAGCATTCTAATCATTTAAAAGAGATCATAAAGGAAAAGGATAGATTATAATACATATGTTTATGAGAACTTTTCAAGAAACAAAAGGAATTTCAAGCAAGCGTCTGGGAAAATATGAGATAAAAAAATATTTATTGTTCAATATAAAGAGCTTATGAATCAGTTAAAAAAAAAAAGCAAATATAAATGGACAAAGGACATAAGCAAATAGTTCCCAGAATGTTCAACCTGAGAAGTAATCAAAGAAATGTAAATAATGCTAGTTACACTTATAAAATTGGCAAAAATAAGTTTGATCTTATATTGGAATGCACGTGGGAAATTTTATATACTCTTATATGGTCACTGATAGTATAAATTGGTACCACCCTTTTAAAAATCAGTTGGGAAATATATAGCAGACACTTATAAAATTGGCAAAAATAAGTTTGATCTTATATTGGAATGCACGTGGGAAATTTTATATACTCTTATGTGGTCACTGATAGTATAAATTGGTACCACCCTTTTAAAAATCAGTTGGGAAATATATAGCAGAGATCATTAAAATATTCATGTTCTGGAATATTTTTTAGAAAAATGACCCATGCTAAAGAAAAAGTATGAGTAAAAACATGTTTATTATGGCATTATTTATAATGTTGAAAAAAATTGGTAGCAAAGTAAATGTCCAGTAGCATTAGGAAATTAAAATGGTAATTATGAAGTTTTTGTAATCACCTGAGCATTGCTAGGATATATAGTGATAAAAGAAATATATCAATAAGTTAATGGATTAAATACAGGGTGTAAAATTATATTTACTGTAACTGGAATACATGCAGCATGTCTCAAAGTGCAGTGGAAGGGCAGAGCCTTTGAGTTAGAAATGTCTGGACTGACAAATTTATTGCTCGTTTGATCTTAGGCAACCAACTTAGCCTCTCTGGGCCTAGTTTCCTAATCAGTATTACACAGATGGTAATACCTACCTTAGAGACTTGTGAAAGTTAAGTGAAGTATAATGTATAATGCCTCTACAGCACTTAGCATCGTGCCTGGTACAAAGAAATCATCCAATAAATGACAGTTGCATCATATGGAGAAAGACTAGAATGGTGTACACCAAAAATGTTGATAATGAGATTGGGGTTGTGGTGCAATTAAAAACACACACAATGGATATTGACCTCTTATAGCTAAGTCTCTTCCATTAACCTGGCCCCATCTCCGTACCCTGACTTCAGGGTCCTTTCTAATTTCTCAGCCTGAACTATGTCATTTGTGCCAATACAGTACAGATCCAGGTTCCAGATTGTTTTCCTTGTTGTGAAGGCTCTGTTCACAGCAGTGTGTTGGGAATGAAGCTAGTTAGCAATATTATTCTTCTCTGTATAAAATACTACCTTGATGTGCTCGATCTAAATTGGCATAAGTCTTATATCACCTCTGTAGGTCTTACCAAATATGTTTAGTGTTCTAAAGAAATCAATATTTCTATGGTACTTAATGTAGGTTTATTGCATTTTTATAATGAAAATTCAAAATTACATTTACCTTGTTCTTCATTAGTACATCAAACATTTTTAAATGGTAGCATACTCCTTTCCTCTTCCTGTTGTCATTTGTTTATTTTAAGGGCTGTTCCTGGGTAGATAAGCTCTGGCTTATTTTAAAATACACTTTACAGTGTAATTTTCCTGGACTTGAACTGAAGAGAAAACATCATCTCTGTTATTTCAGGTACATTAGTTATCAATTTAGAGGATATGAGGATTTCACTAGGTTTGTAAGTCATATCTTAAAGCTCACCAAAATAAAAATACATTTTTTTCTCTTCCAGGAGAGAAAGGATTAATTAGTTTTATAATATTTGGGATATTTCAGCACTTACCCGATTCTTCCATCTTAAATCTCTAAAGGTTTTTTAAAATTATTAGTCTTTATTGCTGTTTATATATCATATAGGTATATTTTAGTTTGTCTACTTAAAAATAGTATTTTAAAATAAAATTTAATGTAAATAGCTGCTAACTGTAATGTACTACTGCTGAGTTATGTTTTCCAGAATTATAAAGTGGTAAACCATTCTGTGAAAAGTAATGCACCTTTCAGAACCAAAGGATAGGTCAGCACTCTATGAAAGGGCTTATTAGGGCACTGGATCTTTGCTCAAAGGAGGAAAAAGGCAGAACACATTTCTTCTCTGGCTGGGGGTTGTTCACTTGGCTTATTTAAATCAGAGTTACTGGTCTTCATTGTTTTAAATGACTCTAAAAATGGGCTTCATCATCTCCATAGACACATGTATCAACGGCAATATCAATTGTACTTATTTCTTGTAAGGTGCTTTTAAAAAAAGGTCATCTCCTTTTGTGGCTGCCAGCAGCATTCTCATTCAGAAAAGCCACAGCTCTGAGAGACATATGTCCTTATGTGAATTCTCTGATGCTGGGCAATGACAGGACCACTAGATGAGAAGACAAGACTGGAGGGTTAGGTCTCCTAAACAGGAGAAAGGTAATGGTAACTTGTTGAGGGGTTTTTCTTAAGCAGTGGCACGAACAATTAGATTAACATTCCAGAAAAGTCATTCTAGCTGCAATGTAACTACCCTTTGCTGCATAAAGAGAAACTGAGGTAGGATTGCATTAAGCCCTAGGCACTGGGACATCTGGCTTGTTCCTTGGAAGTTTGCTTAGGTGGCAGCTTCAGCCCCTGCAGAGGAAAGTGATGGGCCCACAGGCAAGAAGAGGGGCAGAGCCTGGGCAGCATTATTTGGGGTAAGTTACAGAAGAGCAAGTCTAGGCAGCATTTGGACCAGAGCTTTGGTGTTGGAGTAAAGAGGAAATAGTGGATGCCAACAAGAACCTGTAGGGTTTTTCCAGTTATGTAGCTGTTTATTTAAAATACGTGTGCATTTGGGTAAATTTACTAAGAAGCTTGAATCAATTAAAATACAACTATGCTCTTAGAAATGTTTTCTGTATGCAGCTTGTCCTGTCAGTCATCACTGAAGCAGCTGTCAGTAAAGTATTAATTTTTAAGTGAACATAATTAGCCTTAAATTAGTACCATTCTAAATCAAAGGTAAGTACATACTTGTTTTGCTGTTGTAGAACATCTCAACAGAATCTCAGTGTGCTGGCTTCTGTTATAAAAATTAGTTACTAGATGCTGCAAACCTCTTCTATTTTTCTAGATGAAAAAATAGATTCCAGAGAATTTCTGTGCAGGTTTTGTTTTGTATGGCTTCAAAAACTTGCTTTAACTTTTCAAATTTTAAGATATTTTCCATCCATTGAACACTTTATATCACTCCTATTTTTATTTTATTTTTTTAATTTTAATTTATCAATGTACAGTATAATTGATTTTCATGTCCCTTTACCAATTCCTCCTTTTCCTCCTTTCCTCTCCTCCCTACTCCCCCCCCCCATCAACATCATATCTGTTCACTTCTCTTAACAAGCTCAAGGAATTGTTGTGGTTGTTGTATATCACCCCTATTTTTAAAACTGAAGGATAAGGAAAAAAGAATCTATATTAGAGGTGAATTTTTTTTTCCAGGTTTGTTGCAAGAATCTTTTCTTTGATAAGTTTATTTACTAGAACTTTGAACTTAAGTCATTTATAAATTAGGTGAAAATGTCACTCTAGAGAATGTAACTACTTCTCCAGATTTCCACATCGGTGGGCCCTAGTACACTGTCTTGTACTCACAACTTTGTCGTAGCTACTGCTAACAGCTGACAGTCCACACTTCTTCTGTTTGTATTACAGCTGACTTCCATCTTCATAATATATTGCTGTTTTGCTGCTTGTTATGTAAAGAGAACACAATGAAAATCAACTGGAAAATAATTATCAGTTAATATATATTCTTTGCCGGACCATCTATTAAGCAAACAAGATACCTCTCTTAATAAATTTTAAAAAATAAGGGATCGTCTCTCTTATGAATTATTCATTTTCTATTACAGAAAAGGATGAGCCCCCACTTAGCAAGGCTGGGCAGGATGTAGTTTTGCATCTGCCCACAGACGGGGTGATCTTGGACGGCCGCGAGAGCACAGACGACCACGCCATCATCCAGTACGAGTGGACACTGCTGCAGGGCGACTCCTCAGTGGACATGAAGGTAATTCGTGTTGTCATTGCTAACAAAACGGATGTTTCCATGAAATAGCCTTTTGTAATGTCCTTCCGCTTATGCTCCCTATGTCTGTAAGCTAGCAGAAGACACATAAAACAGAGAAAGTATAAAATTAATTGTCCAAAAAATGGTTTATTCTATAAATTTACTTTTCTACTGAGTGAACGATGATCTTGATCTTGATCTTGCTGCTTTGTTGACTTCTCCAGAATATAAAAACACTTCAGGGAAAAAAGACTCATGCTTTGTTTTAATGACAAAGATTACTTTTTATTTTATTTATTTATTTATTTTTATTTTAAAGACCGGTAAGGAGATCTTAACCCTTGACTTGGTGTTGTCAGCACCACGCTCTCTGAAGCGAGCTAACCGGCCATCCCTATATAGGGATCCGAACCCGTGGCCATGGTGTTATCAGCACCACACACTCCCGAGTGAGCCTCGGCCGGCCCAAAGATTACTTTTTAAACATTTATTTCTTCTTTCTCTTAGTTCAGGATCCAGGTAGAAAAATTTGAAAAATACAAAGGAATATAAAGTGGAAAATAACAATAGAATGAACCCATTCTTCACAAGATCCAGAAAGTAAATGTTTACCTAGCAGTTAGGCCTGCTTGAGACCACTGAGTTAATAAGTGAGGGGTATGGTCTAAGGCGTTGCTACCCGGTGCTCCCCAGGGCTTTTCCTCAGGCTCATCTGGGCTTGGCTGGAATTGCTGAAGATGGAAATGAGTCAGTCACTTGTCCAGTGGCTGCCTGCATACTGTGAGTCTTGAGCCATGACAATGGCTTTTTATTAACCCTGTCAGGACCCTTTTTCTATTCAGGAGCATTTACTGGCGTAGACAGATAAACCACATCCAAACCACTTCTGTTAGACAAGGTGGGGAAAGACAGTGAGGTAGAGAAGCACTGATTTACACGCTATAGAAACTAAAATAAAAACATCAGCCAATCCCTCCACACTGATTTAAGTTCATTGTTTTACTCAACAATTATAGTCTTACTATTGCACTCGACCCCTCGGTCAGCATCTCACCCAGCCTCTCCTACAAGGGCTTCTTCTACAGCCTCCCTTCCCCGGGGGCATCTGCTCTCTGCCTGACTTTCCAGGGACAAAAGCTCACTACTTCACATCGTGTCCTATGACACTGTTAGTCAGCTCTAATGATTAGGCAAACAGAATGTGCTTTCCCATTACTTCTATGCATTGGTGTCGAGTCTTGCCTTTGGAAAAACACAGAACACATCTTTTGATCCTGTGTAAGAAGCCCTTAAAGTCTGGGAAAAAATGAGCATTATCACCTGGTATGTTCTTGTCAGAACTCAACACCCTCAATTCTTCAGATGTTCCTCATATGAATTGATGTCCACTATCCAGCCTTATCTGGATTGTTTTCAGATTAATCTGTTCTTCTTAAAATCTGACACCCCTAATTGAACCCTTATTTAAGCTGTAGTTCTTCCTGACATAGCCATTACCCTCTGTGATCCAGACATTCTCTCTACTTCTACTAATGAATCATAATTTACATGAACTGTTTTAGGAGCTTCATCACACAATAGGTTCATGCTGAGTTTTTCATTAGCTGGATTACCTGCAACCCGCTCTACTTTCTGTGTGAACTGCCCTCATGACGGCCTCCCCTAGCCTGTACTTGTGTAATTGACTTATTGGGTCTGAGTGCAGGGCCCTTTATTTATCCTTCTTACATCTCTGCTTTTTGGTTTTCACCTACAAGAGAAATAATTTTGAACTTTGGATGTCATCCATCATATTTATTATCCTTTTATGTTTTGCATCAGCTGCAAAATTGATTAATATATCTGAAATGAAATTTTGAGAATTAAGGTTGATCGGGAAAGATGTATGGACAGACTGTTGATCATACTACAGAGAGCTCTTTTGGGATGGACACGGGCTATTAATTGGCACTTCTGGGGTTCATCTATTCAAGCAAAGCCGCTTCTATCATCATGTAGCTTTTCCTACTTGCTACTGAAAGCTTTATTCTGTAAGCAATGAATTGCACATATGAGTGCTGAAAAAAAAATAATCTGATGATTCAGTATTTAATTTATTGAAGATATTTATAAAGGGGTGACAAAGTTAGGTATTTCTCATAGACTTTTAGGACTGTCTGCTCGGCCATCAACAGGAAACTCTAGACCAGTTCTCTAGCCAGATGTATCACAGTGATGGCGGTTAGAATTAAAGTAGAAAGCCGTCATCCGAGTGACAAAGCCTGTATTAGGGGAGCCATCTGCTACCAGATTGTGACTCTCTTATAATGGTGTACATTCATGAATGTCCCCAAAAGTAAACACTCATCCTGCTATGACTTCATCATAATCATAGCCACTTTCGGATGAGCGCCCACTCAGTGCAGGCAGTTTGGACCTATCTGTACTTCTTAGAACAGCCTCACATGTGGGCTCATCCCCATTTTGTGGATTAAGATTGTCAGGAAGAATTATGAAAGACTTCGAAATGGGCAAAAGATTACGGAGTAGCTTTCAGCAGAATGCTGGCAGTTGGCTAAAGGATCCTTCCAGGTTAGCATTTATAAGTTGTAGAAAACTGATAGTGATATAAATTATTCTTGCCCATAGAAAAGCAAATAAATTTTTTTATATAGAGATTCAATTTTCACCTTGGAGAAAAGAGGATTTGAAACGTGACATTTTGGTACCCATAGACACTAACCAACTGTTAGTATAATTCATTTCAGTACCTATTGGCAAACTGGTTTCAGTTCTGCTTCTACTAGCAACCTCATTTCAGCGTTCATGACTGCATGTATATGTCTGTTCTTCAGATCCTCCTTTGAATCTCCTTACTGGTTCCCTCTTTAACTAATGAGTTCAGTAAAATCTTTGACCTATGTTCATATTATATTTGTGTGAGAATCATGGTTTTACTATCTTGAGATTTTTCCTTTAAGAGTAATTAACAACAGTCAGAGGCTGTTCCTCTGAATTGAGCAGCCTGATTTCACTCCCCAAATTTCTGACAGGGAAATCAGGATTATCAAATCAAGTCACTCCCCCCTCCCCCCCACCCCAGAGTAGTATTCAGGTGACTGGAACGTTAATCGGAGACTCTTCCTTCAAGTGGTGACATGGGGCTAACTTTGAAGGTCGTTGGGAGTGGAGGAAAGGTGGGGACAGCCCCACATAGCAAAGCGATGAAGTTAAAGCCTGACGTTGGCCACCCTTGTTCTCACGTCCCTTGGCCAGCCTCACCATCCAGGAGCGCCCACTGGTCGGGCTTCCCCCTAGCGCCTGCCCAGCCCCTCCCGGCGCCCTCCCTCCCTCCCTCCCTCATCTTCCCTGTCTCCACCGTCTGCCCAGGCTCCTCAACACCCTCCTCCGTTCTCAAGTAGAATAGTCAGGCCTTCTAGTTTTTTAAATACCAGTTAGGTATTTTAAAAACAACAACAGAAATGAATGAGGCCCTCACCCTAAAAGGAATTATGCTGCCAGCTCAATTATGATAAAATTGATAGCTAACTTTCTTAAACATCTGTGTCTGACTTTTCTTCATTTAGGAAGAAAGAATAGGAGAGATCATTGATCAGAACCAAGAGGCTACCCAGTACATTTTAAAGTTATATACGTTCTGCCCTTGAACAGGATATTCTACATCCACTTAACTGAATGTTAATCTATAATAAATCTTTTATTTTTTTTGTTTTATGTTTGTTTGTTTGTTTTTGGCAGCTGGCTGGTACAGGGCTTGAATCATGGACCTTGGTATTATCAGCTCCATGCTCTAACCAACTGAGCAGCCAGCCATGTAAAAATTCTTAAATGCAAGAAGACATATTTTTCAGACATCCCATTAGATGACACCGTTTCATGATTATTAAACATAATACATTTAAGTCTAAAGTCAGAATGTGAAATATGATATTTAGGAGCATGGTGCAAAGTATAAGGATGTTCAGGGAGATTTGGAATTCACAAATCAGTAAGGAGATTGATTTACATTTATCAGATGTTTAAAAATGTTTAACTGAATGTCTTAGTCATTCAGGCTGCTATAATAAAATACGAGAGCTGGGTGGCTTATAAACAGCAGAAATTTATTTCTTACAGTTATGGAGGCTGGAATTCTAAGATCAAAGTGCTGTCAGATTCGGTGTCTGGTGAGATCCTGTCCTGCTTCCTAGTTTACAGACAGCTGTCTTCCTGCTGTGTCCTCACATGGCAGAAGGAGCAAAAGAGCTCTCTGGGCCTCTTTTATAAGGGCGCTAATCCCATTCATGGGAGTGCACCCTAATGTCCTAATCACCTCCCAAAGGCTCCACCTCCAAACACCATCCAAAGATTGGGGACTAGGTATCAACATATGAATTTGGGAGGGACACAGACATTCAGTCTAGAGCAATGATTTTGTAAGGAAAGCTTATTAAAGGATGGATATTGTTTACATCAACAACTTTATTGTTAAATCAAAAGCAGTTGTACATTGGCTTACCTGCTATACACAATTTTTTAAAAAAGACAGATCCAAACAAGTTCACTGTATTTAAAAGATTAAAATAAAGATAGGTATTACTTATTTTGTAATTAAGTATATTCAATGATGTGTGTCTCTGTCTTTGTGTACAACTCAGTGTGTGTGTGTGTATATGTGTGTGTGTATATATATATATGATGAGTCCAAACATGTATTCCTAGCCACTGAACTCATAGCTAGGAAGACAGAGTTGAGTCAGAAACACAGGCCGACGTATGCACTGATCTGGCCAGAGGCCAGCCATCAAAGGCTCTGTTACTGAGATCTCAGGCAGAGATTAGAAGCCCCTTGTTTTATTAAAAATAAATCATATCGGGCCGGCCCGGTGGCGCACTGGATAGTGCACCGCTTGGGAAGCGCGGCGGCGCTCCCGCCCGAGGGTTCGGATCCCACATACAGACCGGTTCCCGCTCACTGGCTGAGCGAGGCGCGGGAGCAACGCCAAGGGTTGCGATCCCGT